ACGAGATCATGTTGTTGTTGTTGAGATCATTTATGTGTCTGTGACCATTCTCTTCTAAATTTCTTTATCATTGTAGTCTTGTGTCACGACTTTATAAATCAGTAACCATTCTTTTATTTCTCAACATATTGAAGTTTCCATCCTTTTTCTTGTTTATCTCATTTTTTAAACCATTCTCTTTCTAATTAATAAACCACCAATAAACTCTTTTAGTTAAGTGTCTCTTAACAAAATTTCTTATCTACATTTTAATAGTTAAAAATTGATTAAGTCCCACTTAAAAACTCCTTAAGGGTTTTGATAATAAACATGCTCTAAACGTCATGGTAGAATTTAAGAGCATGTACAATGCTGTCTCTTAACAGCGTGTTTAGGGAATAAACGTGATTAAAAAAAACAAAAAGAAGACAAAACACGAAGCCACGTTCCTTAATTAGGAGCACGATGATACCGTATGATAAGGGCACGTGTCACACAACTATTCAAAGTGGAAACGGTGGAGATGCGTCTTCTTCTCACTTCTTTCATTTCCCCTCTTTTGTTTTCTCCGTTTCGACGACGAGAAAGACGATTCATCACGTATCGGTGGCTCTTCTCTATCGACTCCGGAGCAACGCCTCCTCTCTCCGGAGCAACACCTCCTCTCTCCGGAGCAACGCCTCCTCTCCTCTGAGTCGGTGGCTCTCCTCGGCGATACGGCGATGTCTCAAACGGTGGTTCTCTGGAGCAATGGAAAGCGACGATCTGTCAAGTGGTGGCTCTAAGAAACACATATCAACGCCGTTGGTTGTTGTTCAGATGAAACTGAGGTAACTGTCGATCTGTGAATTAGGTGGTTGGTTTGTTTTGGTTGTTTTGGTGGTTGATATTTTTTGGTTGTTGATTTGTTTTTTAGTTTGTTTCTGTGTTTCAGTCATTACATGAATGGATCAAGACGCACAATCTATGTTCAATCCAGAAAAGAAAAACGATGATCTCAGGCGTATGAAGGGGTAATATTTTGGTCATTTAGTTATGTCTCTGATTGAGTCTTTCAATTTTCCATGATCCCATTTGTTTATTATTTGCTAATTTGTTTGTTTGTTTCTTCCTGTCTTTGTCTTGGGAGTTGGATGGATGAAGACGCATTGTCAAAGGCGTAGTCTTGATGATAGAGGTAAACATTTATCTTTGCTCTGTCCAATAGAGTAAAGCATTATCTTAGGTAATTGTTAGGGTAGGGCATTGAAATGAATCGAAACAAATTGAAGCCTTGGTAATAAATGCTTTGGTTAGGTTTGAAACAAATTGTACTGTGTTGAAGTTTATAGGAATATGTCAAGTCGGTTTAATATATATGGATGGTGGTTGCGATCAATGCTCTAATCCTCCTATTTCTTATATTAAACTCTTCTCTTTTTCCCTTCTCAAATCGTCTCTTGTGTAGTTAATGGTGTACTGGTTGAAGTTTATAGGAATATGTCAAGTCAGTTTAATATATATGGATGGTGGTTGTGATCAATGCTCTCATCCTCCTCTTTCTTCTATAAAACTCTTCTCTTCTCTTCTTTCCTTATCAAATCATCTCTTCTGTTCTTTTACCGTCTCTTTTTCTCTTCTCAAGTCGTTTTTTTCACCTCTGAAATGGATTACAATCCGTTTTCACAGTCATCAAACTTTGTTGGACTACTTAATAGTCAACAAAGTATTTCATTTGCTCCACCTCAAGTTCCAATTCCAATCCCGGATGATGTTGGTGAGCGTCTCTTACGAAGGAAGTGGTCCCCCAGTGATGATATTCTTCTGATCAGCTCGTGGCTAAACACCAGCAAAGATCCGGTTGTTGGCAACGAGCAAAGGTCAGGGGCATTCTGGACTCGAATTGCAGCGTACTTTGCCGCTAGTCAGACGGTTCCTGGCAGCGAAGGAAGAGAGCCTTGTCACTGTAAACAACGCTGGCATAGGATCAATATTTGGTCTCCAAATTCTGTGGTGCGTATGAAGCTGCTAAAAGAGAGAATGGTAGCGGCTGTAATGAGAATGATGTGTTTAAAAAAGCTCATGCAATATTCTTCCAAAACTATGACAAGAAATTTACCCTCGAGCATGCTTGGAAAGAGTTGAAGAACGACCAGAAGTGGAGTGAGCAATCTTCAGCAAAAGGAAGCTCTAACAAGAGGAAGGGTGATGACGATGGAGAAAGCTCGAACTCTCAAGCTAGTGAAACCAAACGTCCCGTAGGTGTTAAGGCAGCGAAGGCCTCTGCGAAGAAGACTACGGTACAGATGAAAGCGCTTGAAGAGTTTGAAAGTATGTGGACCATTAAACAACAGGACTTGGCGCAAGGGATAAGCTCTCGAGGCTGACCCTACTTAACTCTCTCCTAGCAAAAACAGAGTCTTTAGCCGACTATGAAGAAGACTTGAAGAAGAAACTCATCAGTCAAATTAAGTTTGATTAGCGTAAGTGTAGTTTAACTCTGATTCTTGTTCATTTTTACTTTTATTAAGTCTGATTATTGTTCTTGTTTACTTCTCTGTTTCAGGTCAGGACAGTGTGAAAAGATGGAGCAATGGAGTCTCTGTGGTGCTGTGGTGTTGGACTTTTGTGTCATAGAGCAAGCAAGTCACGGAATGGTAGTGTAGTAGTTGTGTCTTTTTAGTACTACTGTCTTTTAGTACTGGTTTACTGTTGCAAGTCACGGAATGGTAGTGTAGTAGTTGTCTTTTTAGTCACGGATATTTGATGTTTTCAGTTCTTCTGTCACGGAATGGTAGTGTAGTCGTTGTCTTTTTAGTTGTCTTTGTTGTCTTTGTTGTACTTTTTTAGTTCTTGTGTCACGGAATTATCTGTTGCGTTGATGTTTTATCACTTTGGTTCCCACTCTCTATATATTAACTCAGTCAAGTTGATGTTTTATTCACAATCTCTCGATCTCACTTATCTCACAATCTCTCTATCTCACTTATCTCACAATCTCTCTATCTCACTTATCTCACAATCTCTATATCTCTCTATCTCACAATCTCTCGATCTCAATTTCGAACAAAGGAAACCAATCCCATTCTCTGCCTCTTTGCTAAACCAAGACCATTCTACCAAACACATTCTCACCAAACACATATCATATATGGCTTCTTCTTCTAATAATACATTTGATGGATCAGTTGATGATGCTTTTGATCAGCATTTTGATCAACATTTTGATCAACTTTTGATCAAACGTTTGAAAATTTTTCCATTGATCATGGTGAGCAAAAAAGAGAGAGAAAAACAAAAAGAATTTATATCCAGAGGCATCGTGAAGAAGGTGATAGATGTTTATGGGATGATTATTTCAGCGAAACACCAACATATCCTTCTAATATATTCCGACGACGCTTTCGTATGAACAAGGGATTGTTTACGCGCATCGTTAATCGACTCTCCAATGAAGTCGAATTCTTTCAACAAAAGAGAGATGCTCTCGGCAGGCGTAGTCTCTCTCCACTTCAAAAGAGTACAGCAGCCATTCGTGTCTTGGCATATGGTCATGCGGCTGATGGGGTCGACGAATACCTCTGTCTCGGAGAATCTACTACCCTCTCATGTTTGGAAAATTTTGTGGACGGAATAATTTCTTTATTCGGTGAAGAGTACCTTAGAAGACCAACACCTGCTGATCTTCAACGTCTACTTGATATTGGTGAGTATCGTGGCTTTCCCGGGATGATAGGAAGCATAGATTGTATGCACTGGGAGTGGAAGAATTGTCCCACCGCTTGGAAAGGACAATATTCTCGGGGATCGGGTAAACCAACAATCGTTTTAGAGGCGGTTGCTTCATATGATCTCTGGATATGGCATGCGTTTTTTGGACCTCCAGGTACTTTAAATGATATCAATGTTCTTGATCGCTCACTTGTTTTTGATGACATAATAAACGGCGAAGCTCCGCAAGTCACATACTATGTCAATGGAAGAGAGCATCGTATGGCTTACTATCTCACCGATGGTATTTATCCGAAATGGTCAACTTTTATCCAATCAATTTCATTACCACAAAGCCCGCAAGCAGTTTTATTTGCTCAAAAACAAGAAGCTGTCCGAAAAGATGTCGAGCGTGCTTTTGGAGTCCTGCAAGCTCGCTTTGCCATTGTTAAAAATCCAGCAATTTTTTGGGATAAAGTTAAAATTGGGAAGATTATGAGAGCTTGTATTATACTTCACAATATGATAGTAGAAGACGAACGAGATGGATACACTCAATTTATTCAGAGTTCCAAGAAGCAGAAGACAACGGAAGTTCACATGTCGATCTCTTGTATTCTACAAATATGCCTTCAGATATGGGCAATATGATGGATGCTCGAAAAACAATTCGTGATCGACAATTGCATCAACAGCTGAAAAATGATTTAGTAGAACATATATGGCAAAAATTCGGACATAATCAAGACAACTACTAAGCTGTGATGCTTCTCTCAAATTATTCTACTTTGTTTTAATAATCTTTGTTTCATGTTTTATTTAAAATCAATGTTTATCTTTAATAATATGTTTTATTTAAAAATTTTTTTAAAAAAAATTATTATTTTTAATTATAAGAAATCTTAATTAAGAGATTAGCATTGGAACACAATAAATGTTCCCGTCTCTTAACCAAATCTCTTAGCCCATAATTACTATTAAAAATTAGTTATGATACCTATAATGGGTATTTAGGTTGTAAGTGCTCTAAAGTCTATCGTGCTTTAGAATAAAATAAAGAAAAAACAATGAAAAAGCAGGAGAGAGGAAACAATCGATTGGGTTCCAAAAAAAGAGAGGAAACAATCGATTTTTTCCCCCTAGGGTACTCTAGCTTCTTCAGGAAAACTTTTAAACACAGTTGTCATCTTCTTGGTGACCATTCTCTTTTAAATATCTTACTGAAAAACCTCAGTAGATTATCTTGCCGATAATGATGAGCTTAACGGACATAACATTACAACCAAAAAGACAGAAAAATTACTAAACAGGGAAAAAAACTCAGAGGAGACTTAGACAGGAACGTAAGCTGTGAAACAACGAGAAGAACACAAGTAAATAGCATCGTCAGTATTAGTAGTTGTAGACATCACGAGCAACGGTTCGTAGCAGTCATTGTGGCAGTTGCTACAACGTAGTTGTGGTGTCCAGTCATTGCAAACCACTTTATATTCACATCCATCTGATATGAAACTCAGCCATGGTCTCATGTGTCTGAAACTTCCAACGGCACAACTGGTGTGAAGAACCGGACCACAACTGAGACACTTGTAGTAATTACCCATTTCTTCAATCTTTTTTTCGCATACGTCACACAAGTATTGACCAGTAGCGTCTTCAAGACCAGTGTGGATGCTGAGCAAATGCTCATCGTACTTGTACTTGGCCATACTGGGCAAGACTGCACATGCGAAGCACAAATGTAGATTGCATTCCAAACAACTTAGCACATATTTAAGTCCTTCAAGACCGCAGCCGATGCAGATTTTGGCATTCTCGATCTCATCTGTTGGAACGTCGTCTAGAAATAACGGATGATCATGACAATAGACCTCAAAGGGTTCAGTAACTGAAGAACATCTAATATCGAATTCAACGTCACACTCCAAACAACGATAGCTAAACCCATTAAAATGTAACTCACAAGCATGACAACGAGAAAGGCCATTAGGACCACCTAGCCTTTCATCGTCTGAACAAAGAGTAAGTGGGTGTACATGTAGAAACGTAGTTTTATGCTGTGGAAGAAGAGCACATCGCTGGTGAAGAAAGAAATCGCATTCTTGACACCTGTAAAAGGTCTCAGTTGCTATGGGAAGAGCACATCCACAGCAAATAGCAGCGTCTGTATGTTCATCTTGGTGTCTTAGATAATGGTGTTTATGACTGAAATGAAGAATTAACGTCTCGTCAAGTGCGAAGTATAATTGCTCACCATTCTCCTCGTCTTTTCCTTCCGGATTCATCTCGAGCTCTCTGCCGTCCCACACGTCTCTTCTTGTTGCACACGTCGAGTGAGTTGCGAAATTTGGACAATGGTGACATGAGTAAGCACCATATCGCCCCTCCATACCCTGGTGACAAACTCCACAAGTCCATTTCCCGGGGCCAAGAAACGAAGTATAAAACATGCGGTGGTCGTGACGGTTGATAGATATAACGCGTGGAAACTCTATGCAGTCTTTGTGTGTCATGAAAGAACACTTGAGACATACATATGGAGATCTATCGCCAGTAAGTCCACAAGCATTACAAGTGAAGGAGACTTGTGTGGGCAAGAGAGTGAGTGTATGCTCATGGATCTTGCTCTCCTCGATAACAACTGATGGTGGATTCTCTGCACAACCAAGATGTGCAGCAAAATCGCACTGACAACATTCATAACCAGATCCCACTAAAGTTTCTCCGCATAAACCACATATTCGACTGTTTTCTTCTTCTTCAGACGAAAACTCTTTAAGGTTCAACGGGTGTGGATGACTGGGAAATTCCACTGCATTCATGGTGGATACAAGCAGTTTTTTTTTTTTTCTCTCTTTGGATGCATCCAAGTTATGAGTTTATTTTGTTACCTTAATACTTCTCCCCTTTCATTTTACTTGTCATTTTATATTTGTCCACATAAATTTAAAAATCATTTAATTTTCAATAAAAAAAAATATCATTATCTATACACCTAACCATATTTAACCAATAGAAAAATAAATAAGAGATTAAACTTAATAAATTTTGCTTACAAATTTTAAAATAATACTTATATTGTAACAAATATTTTTTCTACGGCAACAATTAATTTGAACCTGAAGGATTGCTGATTAGAAAACTCACATTGTCGTCTACCTTATAATTTAGTTTGACCTTTTTAGAAAAAATGAAACCCTAAATGTATTTTCTTGTAATCATGTTTCTTTTGATTTGGTTTAATTATTTTAATTTAATTGTATTTAGACTTTAATAGAGTTAAAATTATAAAGACTGATAAAAATCAACATGTTGATTAACATAACCGAAAAAATTAAATAAAAATTTAATTATTTAGCTATCAACATTTTTTATTTGAGTAGTATCCCTTAGTTAATTTTGCTTTTGTCAATGTACTCTTACAATTAATATATATATATATCCAAAATATGATATATACGTTGATGAAAATTATATTAGTAATTATATTAAGTTTATCTTTATTAATGCGATGTCTATACTATTATTTGCAAAGTGATTTTTCGCAACGGAGCTCTCACGTTAAAAGTTGGAGTGGTAAATATCGTTTATATCCTTAATGAATAAAATATATAAATCAGCTAAAAATTAAAACGAATTTAATACTTATTTGATTAGATAAATGATTTAAATTAATAATAATGATAATAATTATCCATAATCTAAATATATATTTAAAATAAAATAAATAGATAATTCTTATATATATTGTGTTGTTATCCGGAAAATATATTTTTGATAAAAAATCAAAAACTGAAAACACATAAATAAATATTCATAAAATAAATTTTTTAATTGTATATAATTCAAAAGAGAAAATTGAAAAAGTACAATTTAAAATAATATAATAATATAATATAATGATATATATTCGTGAATTTATTTTTTGCCTCTAAACTCACACGTTAAATTGAATTTATGTTTATATTTTATATACTTAAACCTTAAACATGAATCGTGAGAAATAAATAACAATAATCAAATAACAATGATCATTCAAAAAGAAAGAAATTACGTTTTTGACAAAAATAAATTCAAATATATTGTATTATTATCCAAACTAATTTTATTCTTTCTGTAAGATCAATTTTTGAGTGTATATTTATCGATTCAATTTTCAAATTGAATGATAGATTTCTATATTTTTTATCAATTAAGAAGAAATGAAATATACTTTAGATTTTTTAAAATTTTAAAGGAAAACATAGATTTATTTTTATTTTGTGAATAACTTTATCAATGTAAATAAGTTTAATGTTTTAGATCGAATTATTTGGATTCAAATAATCATTTATTTTGATAATTTTTTAAATTGACTTAAATATAATTAAGTCCGCATGTGCGGGAAAAACACCTATTATATATTACTTAATGAAATAAAGACTAAAATAGCACCAATTCAAGTTTTTGTCCCCAAACTAACATCCAAGACTAAAAGTCACAAAATAGGTTTCATTAAGGGATGATTTACTCTTATGTCTATTCTTTGATTAATAATAAAATAATAGATTAATAGATGATTTCTTCTTATGCCACTTTTTTGACTAATTTACTCTAAAACCCTAAACCATGAAACTTCAATTCTAAACTTTAAACCCTGAAATTTCCACTATAAACCCCGAAATATCAATTTTACAACCCTAAACTTTGCAACTTCAAATTTAAACCATAAACCTTAAAACATCAATTCTAAACCCCAATCATTGAAACTTCAACTCTAAACCCTAATCATGAAACTTCAACTCTAGTCCTTAAACCCTGAAATATCAACTTTAAAACCCTAAACCCTGAAACTTTAACTCTAAACCCCAAACCCTGAAACATCAACTCTAAAACCATAAAACCTGAAATTTCAACTCTAAATTGAAACATCAACTCTAAGACTTTAAACCCTAAAACTTCAAATCTAAATCCTAAATCCTGAAACATCAACTCTAAAACCATAAACCCTGATGTTTTACTTCTAAACCCCTGAAACATCAACTCTAAAAAACTCTAACTCTAAAACTTCAACTCTAATCCCTAAACCCTAAAATGTCAACTCTAAAATCCTAAACTATGAAACTTTAACTCTAAACCCTAGACCCAAAAATATCAATTTTAAAACCCTAAAACCTGAAACTTCAACTCTAAACACTAAAACATCAACTCTAAAATCTTATACCTTGAAACTTCAAATCTAAACCCTAAATCTTGAAATATCAACTCTAAACCATAAACCCCGATGTTTTACTTCTACTCCACTGAAACATCAACTCTAAAAACTCTAACCCTAAAACTTCAACTCTAATCCCTAAACCCTGAAATATCAACTCTAAAACCCTAAACCTTGAAACTTCAACTCTAAACCCTAAACTCTGAAACATCAACTCTAAAACCCTAAAACCTGAAACTTCAACTCTAAACCCTGAAATATCAACTCTAAAACCTTCAACCGTGAAACTTCAAATCTAAACCCTAAATCCTGAAACATCAACTCTAAAACCCTAAACCCTGATGTTTTACCTCTAAACCCCTGAAACATCAACTCTAAAACCCTAAACCCTGAAGCTTTAACTCTAACTCTGAAACATCAGCTCTAAAACCTTAAACACTGAAACTTCAACTCTAAACCCTACACCCTGAAAATCAACCTCTAAAACCCTAAACTCTGAAACTTTAACTCGAAAACCTGAAACATCAATTCTAAAACCCTAAACCCTGAAACTTCAACGTTAAACCCTACACCCTGAAAATCCAACTCTAAAACCCTAAACTCTGAAACTTCAACTCTAAACCCTGAAACTTCAACTCTAAACCCTAAACCCTAAAAATCTAACTCCAAAACCCTAAGCCTGGAACTTCATCTCCAAACCCTGAAACATCAGTTCTAGAACCCTAAATCTTAAAACTTCAACTTTAAACCCTAAACCCTAAAAAATTAATTCTAAACCCTGAAACTTCAACTCTAAACTCTAACCCTAAAATTTCAACTCTAAACCCTAAACACTGAAACATCAACTCTAAAACCCTACACCTTGAAACTTCATCTCTGAATTCTAAACCCTGAAACATTAAATCTCAAACCCTAAATCTTCAAACTTTAACTTTAAACCCTAAACATTGAAACTCCAACTCTAAACCCTAAAACATCAATTCTAGATCCCTAAACCTTGAAACTTCAACTCTAAACTCTAAACCCTGAAACTTCAACTATAAACCATTCTGAAACATAAAATTTAAACCCTACATCTAAACCATAAACCCTCAACTTTAACCCATAATCCCCAAACTCTATATTTTTCCAAAATTCAAATCTGAAACCCCAAAACCCTTAATATTAAAATCTAGATGATATATTAATGTTCATGATAGGCTTCACGGTAATGTATTATAAGATTTGGAAAACCTTGAGCGTGTTCAGGATGAGCTTCCAGATAATATATTAATCTTCAGGATAATGTATTATAAAATTTGGAAAGCCTTGATCGTGTTCCGGATGGGCTTCCAAATAATATATTAATCTTCAGGATAATGTATTATAAAATTTGGAAAGCCTTGAGCGTGTTCAGGATGGCCTTCCAGATAATATATTAATCTTCAGGATAATGTATCATAAAATTTGGAAAGCCTTGAGCGTGTTTAGGATGGACTTCCTGATAATATATTAATCTTCAGGATAATGTATTATAAATTTGGAAAGCCTTGAGCGTGTTCCGGATGGGCTTCCGGATAATATAATAATCTTCAAGATAATGTAGTATAAATCTTAGAAAGCCTTGAGTGTGTTCAGGATGGGCTTCCTGATAATATATTAATCTTTAGGATATGATTTATGGTTTTAGGATTAGAGTTTAGGGTTCAAAGTTTAGTATATTAATCTTCAGGATAATGTATTCTTAAATTTGGAAAGCCTTGAGCGTGTTCAGGATGGGTTTCCAGATTGAAGATAATGTATTATAAAGTTTGGAAAGCCATGAGTGTATTCAGGATGGGATTCCAGATAATATATTAATCTTCAGGATATAGTTTAAGGTCTAAGGTTTAAAGTTTAGGGTTTACAGTTGATGTTTTAGGGTTTATGGCTTAAAGTTCATGTTTTAGGGTTTTGGGTTTATTTGTTTTAGGGTTTAGGGTTTAGGGTTTAGGCTTAGAGTTTAGGGTTGAAGGTTTGGGTTTTAGGATTTAAGGTAAATATTTTAGGGTTTAGGCTATAAAGTGTAAGGTTTAGAGTTTAGGGTTTAGAGTTGATGTTTTATGGTTTAGAGTTTAGTATATTAATCTTCAGGATAATGTATTATAAAATTTGGAAAGCCTTGAGCGTGTTAAGTATGGGTTTCCGGATTGAAGATAATGTATTATAAAATTTGGAAAGCCATGAGCGTATTCATGATGGGCTTCCAGATAATATATTAATCTTCACGATAGACTTTAAGGTTTAAGGTTTAGAGTTTAGGGTTTTGAGTTAATGTTTTAGGGTTTATGGCTTAAAGTTCATGTTTTAGGGGTTCAGGTTTTGAGTTGATTTTTTTAGGGTTTAGGTTTTAGGTTTAGAGTTTCGGGTTGAAGGTTTATGTTTTAGGATTTAAGGTAATTTTTTTAGGGTTTATTTAAAGTGTAATGTTTAGTGTTTAGGGTTTAGAGTTGATGTTTTAGGGTTTAGAGTTTAGTATATTAATCAGGATAATGTATTCTAAAATTTGGAAAGCTTTTAGCGTGTTTAGGATGGGTTTCCGGATTGAAGATAATGTATTGTGAAATTTTGAAAAGCAGGAGCGTGTTCAGGATGGAATTCCAAATAATA